AATTTTGACGCCATACGCATCCCAATCCTGCCGGACATAGTTCGGCCAGGATTCTCCTGACTAGGAGAGAGACCTTAATGAGTTCAGTATGTCGCCAAGGGGCGCGTGCTGAAAAATATCCGCGGAGGTAAACTCCATGATCGGCGCCCAATTGGATTCGCTAGGAACGGGCGCAGGCGGTTCGGAGTTCGCAGCCGGAGAGAGATCCGACAGTTTGTCAACACGGCTCTCGTGCAGAGTAAGGTCGATGTTCGGCTCGATCGCCGATGGGGGTAAGGCCTCCGTGGCGAGGTCCATCCACCCGTCCATGGACAGCGCAACTGGCTCCGAATTGAGGGTCGGAGCGGCTGCCGGTGCGATCTCCTGAACACTGTCAGATGGTAGAGCTAAATCGTACCCATCATGACCGCGTGACACACAAGGCAGAGGCTTGAATCCATCGAAGATCAAGTCTCCGCGGATATCGGCCGTGTAGCTTAAGCTTCCAAACTTGACCTGATGGCCAGGGGCGTAGCTTTCAATCTGCTCCAGATGGCCAAGCGAATTGGCCCGCAGTGCAAAGCCGCCGAATACAAAAATTTGTCCGGGGAGAAAAGTCTCACCCTGGACTGCATCGCTAACGATGGTAGAAGGAGCCATCAAGCCTAACGGTGACGATACAGAGGAACTGTCAATGAAAGCACCAATATCGGTGTCAAAACTGGCGGATCTCGGATAGGGGGTCCCGAACTGTGCGTCTAGGCGGATGGTAACAAGAGGCAGGGGACACGAAGTTTTACCCAGGTTCGGGCCCTCTTGATGGAGGTAAAACCCTACGTCCTGCTTGATTAATATTGATGATATGGGTAGTACAAGAGTAGATCTACCACGAGATCAGAGAGGCTAAACCCTAGAAGCTAGCCTATGGTATGATTATATGTTGTCCTACGGACTAAAACCCTCCGGTTTATATAGACACCGGAGAGGGCTAGGGTTACACAAGGTCGGTTACAAAGGAGGAGATATACATATCCGTATTGCCTAGCTTGCCTTTCACGCCAAGTAGAGTCTCATCCGGACACGAGACGAAGTCTTTAATCTTGTATCTTCATAGTCCGGCCAGAAGATATAGTCCGGCTGTCCGGAGACCCCCTAATCCAGGACTCCCTCACTCTCCATGTTGGCAATCCAGCCATACTCATTGGTGACTAGGCAGCATAGAGAGTCAACAACACGGTCAGAGACGATCACCTTCTCGACCCTATCGCCCAGGACCCGTTGGTGGCTTGAAGAAAGCAAAAACAACGGAGAAAAAGAAGATAGATGATTCTTTACAACTACAACCTGAAATGCCTTTCACAAATCAAATGCCTATGTATAACCCAATCTTAATCATATAAGAAGTCTAACATTTATAAATTTCTCTCTTTTTCAAACTTCAGTGACGCTAAGCTTTGCTATTAATCTTCATAGGAGCATTTTAGAGAAAATATTGTACCAGGATCAGCAAGACCCGTTGGTGGCTCCGAGAAAGCAAAAAGCAAAGAAGAAAAAACAAGACAATTGATTCTTTATAACTACGTTCTAAAATGCCTGACAAACCAAATGCCTGGGTATCTACCACAGTACAACCCAATCCAAATGGTATAAGTAGTATACTTTCTCAACTTTTTCTCATTTTCAATCTTCTATGGCCTAAGCTTTTCTATTTATCCGCATAGGGTCATCTGGGAGCTCCACCGAATCATGTATTCCTCTATTAGCACATTATAACTCAAGTATGCAACAATCCATTGGTACCTTGAACCCCAACTATGATGCCAAGACAAAGTAAGTTATTCCCAACAACAAACTCCTACCAATGGTATTTCTACCCCTATGATAATGGCAGGACAGAATCTGCCATTCTTCCAAGAACAATGACCTCTAGCCCTACGATGATACCAGGACAATTCTATCATTCTTTTAACAGCAGACTCCTACGAGTGGTACTTCTACCCCTATGATGATGCCCGGACAGAATCTATCATTTTTCCAACAACAAACTCCTACCATTGGTACCTCTACCCTGGCGATGATGCCATAACAAAATCTACCATTCTCCCAAAAGCAAAAGCCAGCTTAATCAATGTTATAGATTTTTAATTTCATGTACTTGTGTGCAATTATATTAGAACCTATGAGTATACGACCATGGATTGAAGGAGACTATCTATATGAATCAACAATTAATTTAATAAGTAATTCGTGATTTTCATAAATATAACAATAATCTTATATGTTCATGTATTCAATAGACTTGATTAGTATCAGGTACAAACTGTACTATTACCAATACCATACTAGATTTTTTTGTCTAACCTGTCAAACAAACCAGTAGTCGATCACTACCAGTGGCAGAGCATGAAACAAAACCAAGAATGGGCCAATAGCTTACTCGGCGGGCCATCTTTGTTATTGGGACAAATTCTCAAAGAAAAGCCCAGAAAAAAGAATGGAACATGGCCCGTCCGCAAAAGGATCCGCCCCTGATCACTACGGTAATGGAGTTACCGTAGTATCACCGTCACCTGGATCAGGATCAGCTCAACCATATGACTTTGCATATATTTAATTATGGTTTCTTAATATACATGCTTTTAGTCTAAATATTTTATATGCCTATTTAGTTTTTTGTTATTTAAGACTACGCGGGCTAATCCATCGACCGTGTTGAGCGCACCAATAGCCTTATTGCCAAAACTGAACACTCATTCGCCCGGCCGACTCAAACGGACAAAATCTATATCATTTTACATCGACCAATCAGAGTTACCCTCTTTTATTGTGCCAAAACTAGTACTGCATGCAAAAGAAAAAATAGTACTGCATGCAAACAGGACCAGTTTGGCTGTCATTCCGTCACTTGTTCGGACACTGGCTCGTCGAGACGGAAACCGGACCTCCTAACTTTCTCGAGGGATGTCACGTAAGCTGCAGTAATCGTGACATCCCTTCTTCACATCCATATGGTTAAGCCTAAAATAATTATAATTAATTTGCAAATTACAAATCTACTGTATACATTTACAAAAATTGCACACAAACAAAATTATGATGCAATAAAATTATTTTTTGATTTATTTTTGTACATGCTACAGTAAATCCACACGGTAGTTGCTACAATATCATTGACATTTCTTTTTCACTTTACACACGCATTTCATTGTAGCTTCATGACTTCTCTTAAAGATGTTAGAGGATCCACTTCCGTCGAGACGATGGACATATCCAATACTACCAGACTTGTTCCAATACGTGAACACGCGATGTGAAATAGTACTACCTAATGTATCTGAGAGCCAAATTCCCTATACATGGCTACATAAATGCGTTTTTTTTTTGAACAGGGAAAGGCGTCCTCAACGCCAATTTCATTCAACTCAAAAATAGTGTACAACATGGAGTACAAAACCCTATAAATTTAAGGGAGAAAGACTAGAAATCATAGGGCATATTCTGTTCCTGTGAGCTGACCCGAAACAACTATAGACAGGTTTCAAAGAGCGACTAAGAACCTGATGAGCTACACTGTGTGCAATCCCATTTATTTCTCTAGATATATGGAACACCTGCGGCTGTAGATTTTCTCTCTCTTTTCACGACTCTTGCAAGCATATCCCAAATCACATCGTTCCATATCTCTACCTAATAATAAAGTAGATTGGGTTTCGGTCGCCCGTCACGCACTTTTGCAGAAAACTCCCTGCATTTTTTATAATTAACCCGCAGTACACACTTAAGTCATAACCAAACCATTATTTTATATTTTACAGAAACCCCCTGACGTATTAGATAATTCACCCGCCGATCATATATAAGTCAAACAAATGTTTTTCTAAATTATTCATATCTTTTAAACCGTAACTCCGATTTTGACATGTTATATATGAAAATTGATTAGAAAAATGTGTAGAATCTGAATATGATGTTATTTTTGTTTGTTAAATATTTTTTAAATATTATTTTAGAAGATATTTAAGTCAAACAATTTTTTTTCTTAATTATCCATATCTATTAAACCGTAACTCCGATTTTAACATGTTATATATGAAATTTGAATAGAAAAATATGTAGAATTTGAATATGATGTTATTTTTACCTATTAAATATTTTAAAATATTATTTTAAAAGCAAACTTGTAACCTATAGGGCACGTCCGTTTTTCTTTCGTATCACGACGATCTGGATTGCAAATAAACAGCCACTAAAATCATAAAGAGACGAAACAAAATATCAATAACCATACATGAGCACCTCTGAAAAAACTGGTAGGGGAAAAACAGCATTCAAACACACTTTGGTTTGTGTGAACACTGAGGCCACTGAGGGTGAGAAGGAGGATAAGCGGCAACACAAAAATGATGCCTCGCTAAAATAAAGGACATGAACATATTATGATTATTGGGTTAAGAGTGTGTGTTATTTTTTTCTCCCGTTGCAACGCACGGGCTCTTTTGCTAGTATGGACTAACTGAGAATCTGGGATTTTTCCATCAAGCGCACTGCCTTTCCATGCCCCTCCATCAACAAGCGATCAATCTTCCACATCGCAAAAAAAAGTGAGAGAGAGAAGAGGGAGAGAGATCAATCTTCCAAATCACTTCATTCCATATATGGACTAACTCAGAATCTGGGATTCCATCGATCGCGCTGCCTTCATGCCCCTCCATCAACAGGTGATCAGACCCTGTTTGATTCCAAATAAGTCATCAACTTATAAGTTGAAAAGTGAAAAAATGGCTTATTTTACCAAACAGACCCAATTTATAAGTCACCCCAACTTATAAGTCATAAGTTACTTCACCTCAACTTAAAATTTATAAGTCACCTCCTTTTGCATGGGTCCCATCATCTTTATATAAAAAAACAATGTGGAAAGGTGTGGTCAGGTGACTTATAAATCAGATGACAACCAAACATGCAAGTCACTAGTTTTAAGTCATGTGACTTATAAGTCGGGTGACTTATTGGAACCAAACATGCCCTCCGTTTTCTTGACGCTCGTGTCTGCGTGCTTGCTGTACCACCGCCCACTTTGCGGCTCCAGCGCCAGCCTGGGACATCTCTCCATCTGGGCCGGCATATCGGGACGCTGCAGGGATGCCATCACCTCGAGAAGGGGCGAGGAGTCCACTCCATCGTATGCCCAGTTGATGTCCCCGGGTACTCACTATGGCACGAAGAGCCCCTCAACGTTATCCTCTTCGACTGGCATCACCACGACGGGTCAGATGTGCCACGCACAGGACACAGGGAGACAAGGGCAGGAGCGGCAGCAGGCGGCGGTGGAGCACGCAGCAAGGTACGCACGGAAAACGGCCATATCATGTATCTTGGTGTCCATTGTTCTTACCGCTGTCTCGTACTCAAATTTCACCGTAGCACGTTGCTCATCTGGTTCAAAGGAAACGGGTCTGATTATGGCGCTGTTGAAACATTCCCGAAGTATGTTAGATCGCCCTGTACAGAGTAGTTGAACATGTCCATGTGTTTTTCTTGTTTCTTCATTCCTTCATTCTCCTGGATATGAATCTTATGCTCTCCTTGTTGTGATTTTCTGAAGAACATGTCTACCTGTTCAGGAGGCAAATAACTGAAGCTGAAGGCTCTTTTCTGAATGATGATAAATCTAGGAGAGGATGACGAATTACTTTGTGCAAATCTCCCACTGATTTGTGTCCTTGAGGAAGTCCTTTCTTGCATGGCTTTTATAATACGAATTAGACATTTCTTGCTTGCGAACAACTGATTGCATCTCTTCTTGTTGCATGAACAACCATATATATATACTCCTAGAGCGGCAGAGCTAATGCATCATCAATGGTCAGGATAGTCAAGCATCATGGCACATTTGCAGTACATCTTGAAGGATAACAACAGTAGCTTACGAGAGTGGAACAACGTAATGCAAACACACACTTTATATTGAGTTGTTCATCTTTCCTTGATATTTCATTCATGTCTACATTGCTCTGTACCTTGTGGACAGACCTGCCAGATTCAGATCGTGTTTCATTGATGAATGATTATATAAGTCATTCATTCAGACATACATCCGTTTTCATTTTAATTCATAACTTTTCTTGAAGGAGCAGCCTAACCCGTGAATTATGTTTTTTTATTCAGATTTTTCAATCCGCAAAATGATTTGGTGTAATACAAGCTTCCTGGGGAAATCTGGTTTAGCTTTCAATTCCAGCTTTGACGTAAAATAACACCAGGCTACCTCGAACACAACTTTATGACAATATATGGGCTAACATCAATTCAGCTTAATATCTAGATGCTCTTCCGGCCTTTGATAATACTTCCTCCGTTTCTAAATACAAGTCTTTTTAGAAGATAGGGAAAAGTATATTTTTCGTCCCTCAATTTTCTTGAAAGTATGAAAATGGTCCCCCAACTCCGAAACCAGCAAATCTTAGTCCCTGAACTTGTCAAACTGGATAACTTTAGTCCCTCATGTCGGTTGGGTGGTTTCGTGGCATGGTTTTAGTTGGCATTTTATCAAACACCTGTTGTGCGCCTGCCATATTTTCGAACCGTGGCGTCAAGGGTCGCACAGGGCACAGCAGGTCTACGATGTGCCCTTTGATGATGCCGAGGCCACGCCCAGCACCCTGCCCGGCGTCATGGTGCGTCCGATGAATGGCTTTGCCCAGCAGGCCGAGAAGGAAGAGCTGGGCATGGCGGAGACCTCCATGGCGGCCGCTCCTGCCCTTCTCTTCCAAGCGCTGCTCCCTGTCCTACCTGTGCGGTCGCCGGTCGCTGTCCGTCGCCTCCTGGCCTAACCGCTCACACGATTGGTCGTACGGTGTCGCCGCCTAGTCCTTGTCCAACAGGTGAGCAGGACAGCACCACCACGCTCGGTTACACCCCACCACGCCACGCTGGGAGGAGTAGCCGCGTACAACACGCGGGTTGCGATCGACCCGTCGCGAACTCGAGGGTCACCAGGGTGTCCATGGGCGACCTCATGAATGACACTACTATCGGCTGCTACTGGGCGAATCCACGTCTAGGCTCGACTTCGGCAGTCCGCCTTCGCTCTCCGCACTGTCGTGGTGCTCAAGGACATGTCTCCCCGGCCTCTCCGCACTGTCGAGGTGCTCAAGGACATGCTTCTCGAGCTCTAGGCATACGCGGCTGAGGCACGGGTTCCTCTCCCGACAAGAGTCTGGGCGTGCAGGACGACAATTCCATCATCGGCGACTGTCTTCGCTATGCTGGCGGGTTGTTTACGTGTGTTGCTTGTGAGCGTGTTTCAATCCGGCGAAAAATTATCTAGTACGGAGCTACTACTCCCTCCGTTTCAAAATAGATGACCCAACTTTGTATAAAGTTAGTACAAAGTTGGGTCATCTATTTTGAAACGGAGGGAGTACTAGCTAGCATCCTTGTGAATCGACCCACCACCTCTACTGTACGCATGTGTTGCCTTCCCGCCTAAACCAAGTGGCCTGTCCCTCGGTGTGATCAGTACTCCATACTGTCGGGCAGCAAAGCTTACACTTGTTCACTTATTATGACGGTTCACCAAGGCCTCTTTCCTCCTCCCTTTTCTACTCACTCGTAGGGTCGAGACCCCACAAAGGGGGAGGGAGTCGACTGAACATTTCAGCCATTGGCGGGAATTTCGCCTGCATCCGATCCCCAATTCTTGCTTCTTTTTTTTCTTTTTTTTGCGGGGTAAAAAACCAAGCTAGCTTTGGTACTACATACGCAATCAAGACGGGAAGTACTGCAACCGAGACCAGCTAGCTACGCCTGTGTCGCTGGCGGCGCTCAGGCGTGATGCTATTGCCTGGACGAGCTGCTGATCGACATATAGATGTATATAGACATATTTTACAGTGTAGATTCACTCATTTTGCTCTGTATATATAGTATCTGTTGCAATCTCTAAAACGACTTATATTTAGAAACGGAGGAGGGAGTATATTGAAACCCACCTTGAAGTCTTGATACCCCTATAATGGCTGGTTGTTTTAGAAATGACATTTTAATTTTTTTCAGAGAGCTTCAATTACCGTGGTAGGTGCGGTCCACATACAAAGTCCTAACGTAGATGTTGGAGTGGTTTTCCTATTCCGATATATTATTGGGCCACTTATTGATCAGTGAAAAGATATTAAAAAAAATGCAAGGAATATGTGTGATTTCGGAGGAGCCAAGTTGCAAGGAGCTAATGGGACACAAAATGCTTGCTTTTCTTTGCTCTAATCTTTTAAGTTTGTGGATAAAATTTCACCCAACTATAATATGACGTCATCAAATGGTACAGAATGCCAATACTACATGCTTTGCGTTTTCAGGCTGTGCGGCATCATTTTTTACCAGCCATCTTGTTCTTGCAAGAAGTTGTCCAGATAATGGTGGCATGGCCAGGGTTTTTTTTCTTTGCCGAGATTTTCAGAAACCGGTCAAAAACCGGCCCTTCTGTTACCCAGCGAAAATTTCAAATATCGCGGAAAATTTTGAATTTATACGGCTAACATATGTCAAATACAGTTCGTATACTCTTGTGAACACAAGATACTCCCTCCTTTCCCGTTTAGGCTAGTCATAGTGGGAGTAACTTAGATAGTAACATACTCCATCCATCCTTTAAAGAGTATACTTCCAATTTTCTTGGAGAGTCAATTTTTTTATATTTGACCATGTTTATATAATAATACATCAACATTTATGCCATCAAATTAGTAGCATTAGATTCGCGATAAAATATACTTTCATCATATACCTATTTGATTTCACAAACATTGATATATTTTTGCACAAACTTGGTCAAACTTTGAGATAGTTTGACCCTCCAAGAAAGTTGGAAGTACATTCGAGAAATTTTTGCTTATGTGGCAAGTAGTTAAGAGAAGTGGTAACATAATATGTTACTGTAACATAACGCTTCCCAAGACAACATGAGTTTACAAGCTATCAAAAAAAGTCACATATGACACTACTACTATGTTACTTTGCATTATGAAGATAGTAACTTAGACTAATGTCATATGCATGACACTACTACCTCCGTCTAGGTGAATAAGTCATTCGTGTAGTTCTAGGTCATCGATTTGAGGAATTAAATATGTGTTATATGTCATAAAAAGTATATCACTAGATTTCTACACGGATGTGGTTTCTAAATATATATTTTATCACATATAATATATATTTAAATAGTTAAATCGTCGACCTAAAACTACGCGAATGACTTATTCACCGAGACGGAGGTAGTAGTATAAGTTACTGTTGGGGAACGTTGCAGAAAATTAAAAATTTTCCTACGATTTCACCAAGATCCATCTATGAGTTCATCTAAGCAACGAGTCAAGGGAGAGAGTTTGCATCTACATACCACTTGTAGATCACGAGCGGAAGCTAGCCAAGGAGATGGTGATGATGGAGTCGTACTCGAACGTGATTCGGATCACCGATGTCCAAGTGCTGAACGGACAGCACCTCCGCGTTCAACACACGTACGGGACGGGAGACGTCTCCTCCTTCTTGATCCAGCAAGGGGGAAGGAGAGGTTGAGGAAGATAGCTCCACCGGCAGCACGACGGCGTGGTGATGGTGGAGAAGCAGTACTCCGACAGGGCTTCGCCAAGCACACAACGGAGGAGGAGAGGTGTTGGGGAGGGGAGGGCTGCGCCTTGGAGGGTGGTGCGGCTGCCCTCCCCTCACCCCTCTATTTATAGGGGGAAGGGAGAAGGGGGCCGGCCCCCTAGAACCCATCTAGGGGGGATGCGGCGGCCAAGGGGAGAGGGGGAGACGGTGGCTTGCCCCCCAAGCCAAGGGGGCGCCCCCTCTAGGGTTCCCCCCTCAACCCTAGGCGCAAGGGCCCAAGGGAGGGGGTGCGGCCAGCCCACCAGGGGCTGGCTCCCTGCCCCACGTAGCCCATGTGGCCCCCCGGGAGGGGTGGCCCCTTCCGGTGGACCCCCGGAACCCTTCCGGTGGCCCCGGTACAATACCGGTATGACCCCGAAACTTCCCGGTGTCCGTTTGACAACTTCCCATATATAAATCTTTACCTCCGGAGCTCCTCGTGACGTCCAGGATCCCATCCGGGACTCCGAACAACATTCGGTAGTCACATACTAGTCTTCCTAATAACCCTAGCGTCACCGAACCTTAAGTGTGTAGACCCTACGGGTTCGGGAGACATGCAGACATGACCTAGACGCTCTCAGGTCAATAACCAACAGCGGGATCTGGATACCCATGATGGCTCCCACATGCTCCTCGATGTTGTCATCGGATGAACCACGATGTCGAGGATTCGATCAAACCCTGTATGCAATTCCCTTTGTCAATCGGTACGTTACTTGCCCGAGACTCGATCGTCGGTATCCCAATACCTTGTTCAGTCTCGTTACCGGCAAGTCACTTTACTCGTACCGTAATGCATGATCCCGTGTCCAACACCTTGGTCACATTGAGCTCATTATGATGATGCATTACCGAGTGGGCCCAGAGATACCTCTCCGTCATACGGAGTGACAAATCTCAGTCTTGATCCGTGTCAACCCAACAGATACTTTCGGAGATACCTGTAATGCACCTTTATAGTCACCCAGTTACGTTGTGACGTTTGATACACCCAAGGCACTCTTACGGTATCCGGGAGTTACACGATCTCATGGTCGAAGGAAGAGATACTTGACATTGGCAAAGCTCTAGCAAAACGAACTACACGATCTTTTATGCTATGCTTAGGATTGGGTCTTGTCCATCACATCATTCTCCTAATGATGTGATCCCGTTATCAACGACATCCAATGTCCATAGTCAGGAAACCATGACTATCTGTTGATCACAACGAGCTAGTCAACTAGAGGCTCACCAGGGACATATTATGGTCTAAGTATTCACACGTGTATTACGATTTCCGGATAATACAGTTATAGCATGAATAAAAGACATTTATCATGAACATTGAAATATAATAATACTTTTATTATTGCCTCTAGGGCATATTTCCAACAGTTACTCCCTACTATGACCATAGTGGGGGTAACATAAGTAGTATCATGCGCTTGGGACTCGCAAGCATGCATATGTGGCAAGGAATTAAAGAAGAGAGATGGTTATAGTAACATAGGTAGATACCGTAACATAATAAATGTGATGCTACTATGTGTCATGCATGTCAATAAATAAGACCACCTATAATACTAATCTATGATACTATGCATTATAGATGTAGTATCATACACTAGTATCATATGCATGATACTAGTGTATGATGCTCCCCACTATGACCAGACTAATTTAAAAATCTCACCAACTAAGGTAGATGGTGAGCGGTGGAATACTTTTTGTAATTTGCAAAAAGCACCCAATTAATGCTCTTGTTTTTATCAAAAATTTATGTTTACCGATCTATTAATTACAATGCATGCATGCATAAAGTACATGCATTGGACAATTTTCTCTTAATATTTGCATGCAATTATTTAATGCACCTTGGAAACTGAAATTGTGACGGGAAACAACCAAATTGAGCCTTATAAAATGGAAAAAAACTAAGATTTTGAGATAAGCCCTATAAACCAAAAAGGAGGGAGTAATACGTAGTGTGGTGTTAATGCACTTGAGTAGCTTCCAAAAAGAGGCTTAAACATATTATGTTGATGCACACAATTTTTGAATTCAAAATTTGTTTGAAAATTCTGAGAATTTCGAGAAACCAGTTTTCCTGGTCCCTACCGGAAAAAAATCGGAATCAATAAAAATAACATGGGCATGACATGGCAGCAATAAAATAAAAACATTCACAATAAAGTGCATT